CCGTCCGTCCCATTAAAATTCTAAACGTCTTTTTTGCGTCCAATTATTTTTTCGTCTAAAAAAAATCCAGAATGCTTTATTAAATAAAATAAAATCACTTAAATCACGCAAGCGCTAAAACTTCTTAAAATTTTTAAGTAACGCATTTTTAATAAAGTTTTTCAATTACAAAAGAAGTCGTTTTACAACGACTAATAGAAACGTCCCATCTAATTTTTTTTTTTGTTATCAATTACTTGAAAATTGTGTTAATATTGATACAGGTAATGAAATTTTTACAGATAATGAAAGAAACGGTTTAAAACTGAATATATGCTATACTATGTATATATATACTTGATATACTATTAGTATTGCTATATCAAGAACCAAGTTCTAACAATTTCAAAGATTTAGACATCTCATGCAGAATCGAATTTTTCAATAGGAAAACCTGTTAATGATACATGTAACAATTATCCTGATAATTCTTTAAATTCAATGTCTTTACTCGACAACATTGAGCTATTCAATAATGGGATCAGTACATTAGTTAATGATCTTCTTGAAATATGGCCAAATCAAGGTTTAGAACTTCCCAAAGATTCAAGGAGAATTTTTAAAAACACCTTATGAAAAGCAACTTATAGAAAGGTTCTTGCAAATTTATATATACATTTTTAAAAATTTAATTCCTTGAGAATTGTATTAATATTGATACATATATTGAAAATGATACAAATATTGAAATAAATAGTTAAAAACTGGGTATATGATATACTATATATATATATATATATATATATTATATATATATATATATATATATATATATATATATATATATATATATATATATATATATTTATATATATATATATATATATATATATATATATATATATATATATATATATATATATATATATATATATTAAGTATATATTTGACACTTGATATAGTATTTCAAGTATAATAATTGATATACTATATCAAGAACCAAGTCTGACTGTTTGAAAGACTTAGACATCGTAGAATCTCATGCATAGTCATATTTTTCAAAAGGAAAACCTAGTAATAATAAAAAGAGTTTATGCTGATAATTCAATATAATTCAATATCTTTAATTAACAACTTTTAGATTGTTCTATTCAAAATAATTGGACCAGTACATAAGTTAATTAACTTTTTGAAATATTACAATATCTAGTTTTTGAACTTAGCTAATAACCAATTACTTAACTTTAGTAATTAGTTATTAGTGAAGTTCAAAAGTTTTGACTAAAAAATAAGTCTAATTGAAAAAATTCAACCAGTCGTAACAGTTATATAAGAGACAGGAGGGTAGAAAATTTCATTTACTCTAAAGGAAGTTTTCTACCCACCTGTCTCTTATATAACTGTATTACTTGTTTAATTTTTTTAATTAAACATTTTTTAGTGACTTATCCTACTTTTTTTTTATCTGATTATCTAAAAGTATCCTTTAGAAGATAGATGTAAATAATTTTTCTTTTTTATCATTCTTTAAAAGTTCAATATGAATAATTTTAATTAAAATCAATATTTATATATATTATTTGATAAAATTTATATTTTAGTAACTTATCCAAGTTAAATAAGAATAAGAAAAATATATTTAAAGATGAAATTGATTTAATGTTTTTTTTGAAATGATTTTTTATAATGATATTTTGAAAATTTATGGTTTTAGTTATAGTATTTAGTAAAAAAATATATAACACAGCAAAAACATTTAATTTAGAATTTCAGTGCAGCTATATAGGCATTTTAGGTCATTGCAGTTTTGGTCATCCTTTACTTAATGGCCTATTAGTGGCAGAAGCTAAAAGTGCCTAACATATGTATAACCACTATATCACGTGTTGGATTATTATTGGCAATATGTATGTATATATATATATATATATATATATATATATATATATATATATATATATATATATATATATATATATATATATATATATATATATATATACACAACCCTTGGAATTAAGAAAAAAAAGGTTTACAATAATTTGCCGACATCAATCAAGAAAGCAAAAAAAAGTGATTCAAAAGTCTTACCATTAAACATAGAAACAAGGTCAGCATTATTTGTCAACCTCAAACACTTTTAGGTTGGCATTGCTGCATGCCTTCCCTAATTCCAAGGGTTGTATATATATATAAATATATAAGTAATATGTTAATTTATAATAATTTTTCTGTTTTTATTTTAAATTAATTGGAAAAAATAAGATTTTGGTTTCAATGTAGAAATTTTCTCCTTAATTCTGCTAATTTTTCTTTCAAAAAATTGACTTTTGTGATAATCTCTTTAAATAATAGAAAAATGTCTCCTTTAAATCCTTACTTATTGCGTCAGTTTTAATAGTAAAAACACAAAATATATGTGTACTGTCCTATATCACTACTCCCAGATTTTTCAAAAATTCAAAAATAGAATTTATGGTTATATGACATCAAACACACTTTTATACAAAAATCAATTTAAGTTTCAGAGATATTGCTCAATTGAACATGCTATTATTTAACTTTCCATTAAAATATCTATGTCCTTTGATGAAGGGGAAAAAGGAGTATTTATCTCTCTAAGGCATTCGATAATGTTGATCACGGAATTTTTCTTTTAAAGCTAAAGCATTACAGCATTAAAGGCCTAACATATAAGTGAGTTAAAATTTATCTTTTTAATAGAAAACAGTTTGTTGTCCTGGAGGAGTCAGGAGCTCTTGATATTGTTTGCGGAGTACCACAGGGATCAATTTTAGGACCTTTATTATTTTTGATGTATATCAATGATATGAATAAAGCTTCTCATAAAATGTCGTCAATTATGCATGCAGGCAATACAAATTTGTTCTACAGCAATTCAGATGTAAAAATATTGTTCATAACAATGAACACTGAACTAGAATATTTTAACCAATGGTTTATAGCTAATAAGTTATCATTAAATTGTGAAAAAACAAGTCTTACTCTCTTCTATAGAACAAGACAATTAACCGATCTTTCATTAAAGTTGTCAAAACTGTCAATCAATAAAAATGAAATATATCGAGTAAATCGTTCAAAGTTTTTGGGAGTAATATTTGATGAGAACCTATCATGGAAAAATCATATTAGTCTCATTGAAGCAAAAATATCTTCTGCTATAAGTGTATTATATAAATCTAGGGCCTTTTTTGATTATAAATCACGCAAAATGCTTTACTTCAGTCTTATTTATTGTCATCTCTTCTACGCTAATATTGTTTTGGCTAACACGCACAAAAGTTATTAAGATTACAAAGCCTACAAAACCACCTATGTAAAGCAGTTAACTATTTAAAGAGATTAGAAAACCCTTACCCTGTGATGAAATACATGACTGTGTTAAATATATCAAAACTTAATTCGCTTCAAATATTAATATTTATGTATATAGTGTAAGAATAACTTGCAGCCAAAAGTGTTTTCTGATTTTTTTACATCAACATTTTTACAAAAATACAATCTTCAAATTTTATAAATAAATTTAAAAAAAATAAATAAAGCAAAAATAGTCCGAGTAAAGAAAAGAAAAAGAAAGAAAGAAAAAAGCTAGAAACAACAACAAAAAATTGAAAACCAAATCAAACAAATTACCAAAAAAAAAATTAAAATAAAAAAGAAACGAGAAAAGAACATTAAAAGACAAAAAATCGACGTTAAAAGAAAAAAACAGTCAAAAATGGAAAGTAATTTAAAATAATTAAAATAAAGTCTAAAAAATTGCTCCGTTTTTGAAGAAACAAAAAAGAATAATTTTTAAGCTTTATTAATTTTGAGGGTGGATATGTGTTTGCTGGGTATTTTGATATGATTTCCTTTTTTATTTAAATATTTTAATTATTATTTTAGAATTTATTATGAGTCTATATTTTTCTAAACTTTTCGTGACTAAATGTTGGTGTGTGTGACACGTTTTTATTTGTGAGTGTTAATGAAGATTTTTTTGGTTGTTCATTTACTGTTATTTTTTAATTTAATATTGCATTATTATTTTTATTGTTTTTGTTAGAATTATTGATATTAAGATTATTATATTCATTAAATAATTGTTATTTTTTTTGCAGTAATTGTTTTAGTTAAATGGTAAGTAGTTACGTTTTGTCAGTATATAACTGTTTGCAACTTTCCTGTCCATGCAAAATATTCAATTGTTGTTTTAAAATTGAGATTTTTTTATTAATATATAATTTTCTTATTATTTTTATAAATGATAATTTATCAACATTACTATCATCCTTGTATATGTATTATTAATACTATTTCAAGGCGTTTACTAAAGATTAGTTTTTAACTATTTGTAAATGATCTCGATTGTAAGATCTTTTATCGAAATATATTGATTGATTCGCAAGATTGAATTTATTCATCTTTTTTATTCTCAATTTTTTGTTTACTATATTTTCTATAAATAATTTTATAATATTAGTATCATAAATACAAGGTGTAATTGATCTATTTTACAAAAAGGGAAAAGAGCTGAAATTTCAATGTTCATGAATTATGTAAGTGTCCAACCTATAGTTTAGAAGGCGATACGTTTACTTAATCTACAATTTCTGAAAACTGTTTTTGATTCAAATAAAGAGTTTCAAAACTTAACCGTTAAAAGTTGACCAATCAAGTAGAAGTTGCAACAACCATGGTAAAAAGGCTTGTAGCTTCAATCAAGAAAGTTCATTCGAACGCTGCACTAGTGATGAATCAGTAAAAATGGAAAAAAATGTTGTTTTATATTTCAGGTGCTCATTGTTTTTAAAATATAGCATTAACGTATTTGTAAAAAGCATTTATATAACTTCTTTTTCTCCATCAGTTTCTTAGTTTCTTCCATCACTAAATCATTTAGAAAAATTACAAAACTTGCTAGGTTTAGGTTTTTAATTAAATTTTTTAGTTTAAATTTCCAAATTTACAGCCTAATTTTCTGTATCCCTAAACATTCGTTTTCATAAAAAGCAAAATTTAATTGTTTATCTTTTTTTTTTTCAAACATTTACACAATCATATTCAACAACTAAATGTTAAAGTAGTTTAAAATTTAATTTAAAATACACTTTAGGCTTCTCTTTGTAAATCTAAAAAAAAAAATTATTACAATTTAATTGACTCAAAATAAAAAAAAAGTAGTTGGAAAAGGGCTAGAAAAAATAAATATATCTAATGTGGACGTTAACGGAGCTATAAGAAAGGCTTTTTTATCGCTCCGCTAGCGTAAATAATTTACAACAAAAAAATAAAAAGCTTTAAGTATGAAAAATTAATCAAGAAAAAAAAACAACCTTTCAATAGCAGTAAAGAGCACCTTCTCGAGATATTTTTCCATCTAAACAACTCTCACAAGCGTGCTGACCAGAGAGAGTTTTGAATTTGTTATTAGGACATGGAGCACAACCAAAATGATCCAAACTATTTGGTTCATATCCAGCTGGACATTTTTCACAAAAATAACCACTAAGTCGTGGTGTAGATCCTTGAGGACAAGCTTGGCAAGGACTTGAAAGCGGAAATTCATTTAGTAGTATTTGATCTAGAAACATTCCATTATCACTGCAACAATCTCCATTGTATGGTCGGTTAACATTTTTACGAAGAGTAAACTTTGGTTTGCTTAGCAATTTAGTTTGAAAACAAAACTCTGCTGTTGCTTGAAAAAATAACTTCGATTCGGAATAAATTTTTGGTAAAATTTGATTTGAAAGAAGTTCTACCCGCCATTTTGAACCATCTAATCGTGGAAGTAGTTCACCATTTATTACACCGTCTACTTTTATACAAAAAGTTGTTGCTTTTTTATCACAAGATTTAATAGTATATGGATTATATTGTAAACATTTTGACTGGTTTTCTGTGTACTGGTTTTGTACTATGAGACCACCTTCAAACATGTATGATTTTCCTTGCAATTGATTATCCAATAAAGTTAGTTTTATAATAATTTCGTGAGAAAAATTGAGAGCAGGAGGAAGATGTATATTTAGCTTTTTTAAAAAGAATGGACCTTGCTCATGTTCAGAAATCCATTTGTTTTCCACAAGCCAATCTTTATTTGGAATATTTAAATATGCATACCCTTTTGTAAACTTTACATCTGCATCGTACAAAGTTGAAAGATCAATGGTATTGTTTTTACCAGTCATAGTAGCTGGGATTAAAAAATCACCTTTTTTGGTAAAACAGTTCCGACATTGACACATTGCAGTTGGAACTGTATTGATCAAAACTCCTGGATCACCACTCGGATTTTCAAGTAAATCTGTGCAGACTGGCTTTTCGACCCCATGATTCATGTATGTCAAGTAGTTACATGCATTTTTAATAATTATAATTTTATGATACCTAATAAGATAAAGAGCTTCATATTCGGTAAGGAGTTTATAAAGCTGATTACTAGACGAACCTTTCAACGAAGTTGAAAGTTTGTTTGCTGCATCTTTAGCAATCTTCGCTCTTACAAATTTTAAAAAGCTTTCTATAATTGTTACTTCTTGAGTTGCTACTTCTTCAAACAAAGATATCAATATTGAAGCAGTCACCTTAGCGTTAGGACATATTCCTTGTTTTGCGGCAATACCAGCTGCAACTGTTCCAGACTCAGTATCGGGATTTTCAATTACTTCACAAAACTTTTCAATCATTTGATTTAAAACAGCACCAAATTCACTAATTTGACTTGGAGTTACTGCTGGTGAATAATTATCAACGTGTTCAGAAAACTTAAGGAGCTGCTCATTTGTAAATTCTATGCTTTTTTCAATTGTTTCGATAAATTGCGTAATAGTTTTAAATGTCTCTTTATTATTATTTATTTTGACAGAGATTTGTTTTACAAGATTATCTATTTTTGGAATAAAATTTGCTTTAAGGTAATTTACTTGTTTAGTAAGCACAGCTTGTTTTGCCACCTCACTCAGAGCCTCTTTTATGTCAACTGCTGATGTTTCACTTCCAGTTAACCATTTATTTGGATTAAAGGCTCCTACAATACGTAGAGCAAGAACTGCAGTTTTAGAAATCATATCACTTGCTGAAACACCTAATGCAAGAGTCATTATAGAACTAAATTGATCTGAAAATTTTAAGGACACATATTCGCATCGAGATTTTAGTTCAGACCAAATTTTCAGTGCGCTTTCTATATCTGTATTTGCAGTCTGCTCATCAAATTGAGCAAGTTTGCTGAAATATTCTCCTAACTGAGTCGAAAATATTTGACCTAAGTTATTAATATCATTTTTTATATTTTCAAAGCTTCCTTTAAGGAAGTTATAATTAAGAAGTCCTAAGTGGTTAATGTCAGTATACAAGATAACATTGTTTTTCATTTCCGATTTAGCAAAATGTTTAATTTTGTTCAAAACTTCTTGAACTTTACAAAACTCTGAATAAACTGGATTTGGAGTACTGCAATTCCAATTTCTGCACTCCGCAGTGAGTTCACCGATCGCTGCTTCCACTGATCGATTGATTTCAATAGTAGAGCCGTCAACTTTTATTTTTTTTACAATATCCATTAATTTAACCGGTGAACACTGAGCACACTGAATACTAGCAACGTGTGTTGAGCATTTTTTTGAAATTTTTGTTTGACACTGTGCTAATAAATTTTCTGTTCCGTTACAAACAATTGAAGTCAAATAAAAAATAGAAGATTTCTGCCCAACATTTATTTTGTAATTATAAACAGGGACAGGAATTTTAAATTCTCCCCCGTATAGATGGTTACAAACTACTTGAGCTGCTTGAAAGTTCCATCCATCGGCGCATATTGGAATGTGATCAAAAAATACAATCCCCTCATTTTTACTATTTTCTAAGTCAAACGGTGTTAACTTTAGTAACTTTGGTGCTAAGCAAATTACGGCTGCCCCATTTGTTGGGCCACAATTGTGGTATGTTTTATGGCTGCAATATTTAAGACTGGATTCTCCACCCGTACAATTAACGTCATCCATAAAAAAATCTGTTGAAACTAATTCATTTTTCCATCCTATTGCAAGTGTACCTGAAGAAAAGTTTAGCGTTCTGCAGACAACTTGAGCGTTTTGGTTTGTCCAGAAATCATCACATATTGGCCTTCCAAATATTTCCACAGTTCCGTAGTATTTGTTATCTAAAAACACCATAAAATCATAGGTTATAAAAACTAAAAAATAAATTATAAACATATTATAAAAATATTAATTGTAAAGATATAGGATATCTTGAACGAGTTCATTTTATTTATTTGTTGAATTATTTAACATTGATAATATCTTATTTATCTAAGAGTATGTAACCAATTTTTTTCAATGGAGGAAATTATAACCTTATTTGAAGGAAAAATTGTTTTACACTAATAAAGTTCCTCAAATGACACACACACACACACACACACACACACACACACACACACACACACACACACACACTTACTCATATTAATGCTGTGCTTATTGTTGGGCAGGATTCCATTCCATCATTTTTTAATAAATTTTAAACCAATCTGCCACTTTTTTAATTATTAGTGCAAATAATTTAAAATATGAAAGTTTGACAACTTTTGCTCAACAAACAAGTTTTTTTATTATATGTCTAGCAGACCGCAATAATACTTTTAAGTTACGATACGTCTTAAACAATTGGTAACATTTAACAACAGAGTTACATTTATTTATTTTTTCATTACATACATTTGTTAGTGCTTAATATAATGCACTTTTATTGTATACATTATATAAAGCGTAATGATAATGTATTATGCGTTATCAAGCATAACATTAAAAATGTTTGTTTATCACATCCTTACTGCTATTTATCATGTTTAATTTTTTTAATGAACAATAGTTTTGTCTTAACTGGTTTAGACTTGCCATAAAGTTACATAAACTGACATATAACTTTATTATTTAATCCTATGATATTTTTTGCGCTCAGCTACGTATCATTGGTTTTACCTTTAAAAACATCGTTCTCTTACATTTATTTTTAAGTTGCGTTTAAGAAATACAATTACGTTGGTCTTTTCCAATCCCGGTATCTTGAGATTGAAAATTATCAACCCCGGTATTATAGGAAATACCGGGGTTGATTATTTTCATTACTTGATTTATAACTAACTGAAATTATTTGAATGGCGTATAACAACAATGTTTTAACTTTTTTTTAATGTTAAAAGTTATGTTTTTGTTTACTTCATTAAAAATTACATAAAGGTAAAATATATTAATTCTATATATAAATACAGTAACGTTTATTAATAATAAACCTGTGTAAATATTAATAATATCCTCGCGAAACCCCGTTTTTACGAAAATCTTGAAATAAAATTAAAACTATTAAAGCGTTTTAGGTTTTCGAAAGTTCCACAAAAGTTTATAAAAGTATGTTGTTGATTTTAAAAGGTAAATCAGTTTGCAATACAACAATACAGCATTAACAAAAAAGTAAAAAATCTGCCGCAAATAGCCGCAATTAGATTAACAAATTATATTCTTTAGAATTAATACCAGATTAGCTTGGTAATATCAAAGAAAGTGTGGTAAAAATACTGGGCAAAGATGTTCCTTATTCAAGGGGCCTGGGAATATCTTCAAATTTTTAAATAAAAACGACTAAAATAAATCATTGTTTTAATCACTCGTGAATCAAGTACACCTCCGCCTAATATATATATATATATATATATATATATATATATATATATATATATATATATATATATATATATATATATATATATATATATATATGTATATATATATACATATATATATATATATATATATATATATATATATATATATATATATATATATATATATATATATATATATATATATTATATTTATATTTAGTTTACATTTATATTTAGTTTACATTTATATTTAGTTTACATTTGTTTTTAGTTTACATTTGTTGTCGTAGTAAATAAATTACTTTCACAAACACAAACAAAGTTTCTGAAAGAAGAGCGTACTGATCTTAACATCAGAACCTTTTACATGTTTATATAAAATACATCAAAACATAATCAATAAAATAAAATGTAATAAACAATAAAAGCTCTTATGAAAATATAAAATTACAATTAAAAAAATCTGATTACATCATCCATTAAGATAATTAAATTTTTCAGTTTATATTTGAAAATGGGAAAAGTAAAATGCATGTCGAAATTGGACAAAACAATTTTATTGCAAAGATAGGGTGCATGATATGCTATACAAAACTGATCAAACTTGGTTCGACAAAAGGGCTCGTATATAAAATTATTGTTTCGAAGTGTGTATTTATTTATTGGTTTAAAATAAAAGAGATCTTTGAAAACGGAAAAAAATATGTCATTTTTCCACATATACATAAAGCACAAAACATTAAAAACATTAGGCTCATAAATATTGAGAACTTTCATTTCAATAAAAAGTGCTTTGAAATGAGTGTATTGATCCGCAAAATTTATTAAACGGATTGCATGTTTCTGACGGCGATAAAAGCATTTTAACTTTTTTCAGTGCTTTCCCAATCAACATTAGCATAATTTAAATAACTATGAAGTAATGAGTTGTAAAGTTGAGTTAGACTTTTTTTACATAAATATGGTTTTATATAGAATTCCAAAATTTTGAGAAATTTTGCACCAATATAGTCGATATGCGTTTTCCATGTGATATTTTCATCATCTAAGAACTTTGTTACATTATGTCTTTTTATTTTAACATCATCAATAAATGTTTTAGGTAAATTTCAGGGTAAATAAGCTTTTTTAGAGACTGGGTGGAAAAGAACCCAATTTGTTTTTTTAATGTTAAGAGTTTGTTTCTTGCGTTTAAACCATTTAGATATACTTTTAAAATTATCATTCAACGTATGGAAGAGTTTGAAAATGTCAGTATAGGAAAAGAATAAGTTAGTGTCATCAGCAAACATGATACTCATTAAATTCAAGGCTTTATTTAGATCTTCTATATAAATCAAGTACAATAGTGGTCCAAAAATGGAACCTTGTGGAACGCCACATGAAATATTTAGAAACTTATTTGGATGATCATTATTGCTGAAAACAATTTGTTTACAGTTGGATAGATAACTTTTATAACTTTTATAACTTTGCAATTTATTTTATAATATTTTAGCCTTTGTATTAAAATTTCATTGTCTACAATATCAAATGCTTTTGAAAGGTCGATGAAAACACCTAATGCATATATTTAGACTTATCAAAAGAATTAGAGATTTTACTTACAAATTGGATAACTGCATGTTCTGTGGAGTTATTTCTTTTAAACCGAACTGGTAGTTGTTCAAAACATTATTAGAATAAAGATAATTGTATAATCTATTGTACATAATACGCTCTAGTATTTTTGAAAATGTGGAGAGGACAGAGATAGGGCGATAAATACTGACATTTGCTTGATCACCTTCTTTTAAAATTGCAGTAACTTTAGCAATTTTTAGTTGTTCAGGAAAAACTCCTTGGCGTATAGATGCTACATAGACTCTAAATAGGATATCTTTTAAGTATTCAAAACATTCTATGACTATATTACCGTTCATGCCATGTGTTCCGGTTGATTAATTATTTTTAAAAGTTTTGAAAGCTTTTTCAAACTCTTGGAAAGATAGTTCAGCAGATAATTCGTTGGAACTAGTGGTAAAGTGTACCACGAAGTGCTTTATCTTCTCTTTCAAAAATGGAAAAGTATTTTTTTGTGGTTTAGATTTTCTTTTTGTTTTGTTTCTTTGTGGTTTATTTGATGTGCTTTCTCCAGTATTAATAAATTAGACTGGACTTTCGATATATATATATATATATATATATATATATATATATATATATATATATATATATATATATATATATATATATATATATATATATATATATATATATATATATATGTGATATATATATATATATATATATATATATATATATATATATATATATATATATATATATATATATATATATATATATATATATATATATATATATATATATATATATATATATATATATATATATTGTGTGAGTACCACAAGCACGGCGAATATGTTAAATAATAATTTCTGTAAAAACATTATTTCTGTAAATCATGATGGTCTCATTATTAAAGAAGATAGTATTTTACACTTTTTAGAATAGAGTGTATTACACTTTTAAATTGTGTATATGTTGAGCGACCAGGTCCGACTTTATGTCATCCTGGCTCCCCAGCAAAATACCGGTTGTAGCTTCTCCAAACTTCTACCCCCCTCCCCTGAAGAGAGAAATTTGATGACAGACACAACCCAACCCAACACGTTTCTCCAACATTTCTTTTCACACTGAAACTGTTTAACTAAATCACAATCAGTACTAGAACTGCATTCACCTTAATTAACAATTTAGGAGATTGAATTGTATGTTCAGCAGATTGCTCATGCTCCCTGAATGTCTCATGAGCAACTATCCAGTTGTAAAATTCATCTTCGCTCGCTAAAGAACTCCTAGCTTTCCCAAAAAAAAAAGCAAAGTTTGCAGTAAACACTACCATTCCTAGCAGAATATACCAGGCAGTTATATTCTTTTTCTTTTCTCCGTTTACTAATTTTCGAAAAAATAATTCTTATGAGGCGCGTTGCTAAGATCCAGCATTTCCACGGGTTTCAGACCTTAAAAAATCATCAGCTTTGATGTCTCTTTTTTGCTAATTTGTTGTAATAAACTTAATCAGACTATTACTTAAACGTACCCAGTCAACAGGGTCATTTGAAAATACTTCGAGATTCTGAACTATTTTTTTACTGTGCACACTAATGGAGTTCAAGGTAGTTTTCTCTTTATTAAGATCTTCATTACAAATCAACGAATCCAGAGAATCGATGCTACATGTACAAGAATCCACCACCTCTTGTAATAACACATAAGTTTTTGTTGTTTTTTTACGAAAAATGTAACTTTGGCAAAGACGCAACAACATTTAGGTAAGCAATTCGTTTTAAATTTGGCTCTTTCTTTGCCACCAGACTTTCTTTTGCCAGGCTCATCCATGTTGCTAATTGATCATTTCACACTTCTACTTGATCACTTCTAACTTTTTTGTATTCTGAAAGTTTGAATGATTTTTCACTAACATTTTCACTAAT